ATTTCCGCTTGTTCAATCTCATCCAACCAGCCCAACCAGCCCAACAGGCAGAACTTCTGCACAGTTCGTAGCAAGATCGTCTGGACCTGTTTCCCCTGACCAGGTCTGTCTGAACTCCTTTTACTGGTCAAAGACCATCAACCACCGGCACGGGGCGGGTTTGCCAAACACCCAGCGTTTCGACCGCCCGAAGCCCCGAACGGTGCACCGAACGTCGCCGGGGTGCATCGTCCGACCGCCAGGAGCCCGACGTTTTCGGCCGATCCACCCGGGCGACGTTCGGTGAGCTCGGTGAGCGGTTATGGCGGATTCCAAGGGCCGCGTCGCTGCGCCGCGTTTGAAGTTGGGTCTGCGCAGGGTGTGAAGGTGGAATCTGGTTTTTGGAACTTAAGTCAGAATCTGTTCGACTTGATCAACCGGATCTTCCGGAAGGTACGGTATACTGAACACCTCCGGTTCGGTACGACTGGACCCGACGTTTTGACACCTACAGAACAGTGTCGAACATCACCTTCTGACTTACTTTGATGTCTATAGGGAAATAATGCTTATTAGAGATTCATGCTATTCAACCAAGGGTGGGCTACAGCTAGGAATCCTAGAGTGACCTTTGGAATGACCATGGACATCCATGGACCATGTGCACCTCATGCAACAACATCACGCAGCCGTCACTTTTCTTTTCAAGCACTTGAAAGCTGGCAAGGTGCTTTCCTGCATCTTCTGTGCCCTTTCCGAGGAAAAGTCCTGAGTCCTGCACAAAAAATTGAGGACCTAAATGAGGACCGGAAACGGGCCAATGTGGATCCATGGATAGCCACGCAGTAAAAATATGGTATACCATGGTATACCGCCAAAGCCACATTGAAGGCTCACGTTGGAGTCCTTCGCGCAATTTCCCCCATGCCCGTCCCGTCTGAACTGGTTAAGTGTCATGGACGAAGACGAGCTTCTTTCGTTAATTGGTCGCCCACTTCAATCGTATTTAAACCAAATTTATCGGTATGCATCGGTTAGTCTTCTCAAACAGGACAGACCACCACTGCGGGCTAGCTATATATTGCTTCTCAGCGCAAGTCCGCGTTGGAACCCGCCGTTAGGCTGAGAATCGAGGGTGGACAGGTTTGGAGGCTGAGGACACCTGAATCATCGCAGCACCTTCAAACGGGTCACCAATGGAAGCCCCTACACCACTAATTAAGGGGTTCCATACACCCCTTTTTCAGGTCCAGGAATATGTTTATTAAAGCTTGAGATTATTGGAATCTATCTTGGGATCCCTATGGATCCCTATACAGCTGCACCTGAACACGCGTTGCAACGAGCACCTAAACGCACCACAGCCGGCACATCCGTGTTCCGGACGCCCATCGGCTGACGCGCGCGTCGCGCGCCCCCACCTGGTTCGGTAGTCGGAAGCATCACTGCCATCGGTGCAGCATCATGCGCGGACTGAGCTATATCCTCTATGATTTCCCACGGATCGAGCACGTTCGTGGCAAGCAGAAGGAATCACTCCGTGCGTGCCTCTAGAGAAGTGGGAAGTCTGAGGTGTCCCCAAACCTGCGGGAGACTTCATGGAGTCACGGGAACCGGACCTAAGACTCTTTATGCAGGACAGGCCATCGCTGGAGCTGGAGGCCATCGCTTCTCGGGACCGGTCTACGGGGAAGCCTCGGTCTCGGTTGCGCGGGGACCGCGCGCGGGGATGTTCATGGCTAGAAAATCTCGAAGATCATCAGGTACCAGAACCTTCCAAGAGGCGTCAATGAATAGCCTCTTTTAGAGGTTAAGGATGGTTAAGGGGTGTCCCAAAAACCACCGGTTCGAAGGTCCTGGGGCTTTACCGAGGTTTTCACTAGAACACCAGGTCAGTCAGCCATTTTTGTTAATGGTCGAACGGAAGATCTTGGAAGCCTTTTTTGGGAACACCAGGACAAGACAAGCCAACAGGGGAAGCTCAAGAGCACATCAGCGTGAGAAATGAATAAGGCTTCCAAGAGAGGTTTGACATCAAATGCTTTGTAAAACCCCCTGAGTTCAATCCAAGGAGGAGTTGAATCCAGGAAGAACTCCTGAATGATGCTCAGAAACAGAAGAGAACCCCTCGATGTTTCCGTCAGAATGCGAGATCGTCTACATCAACCACCCCCCACATTACTGCCCAAAATGCAGGGAGAAGTCAGGTAAGCAATGCAGCAAACCTCACTTGAAAAACGTACTTATCAGTACGTGGAATCAATATGAATCAATCATCCCATGTAAAGCTTGAACAGAAGATAACATAGATCCCCAGAAGTCCAAAGATTATTTTTGGCACCACCGAAGTACAGAAAATTCAATTTTCTAATCACCTAAAGAATCCTAAAGACCCTTTTTAATATAGTCGTGGACTTTCAGGGGTAGACATATCTGAAACCACCACACCACTCAGCTTGTCTTTGAACAAAGGATATAGCTCTGCTCTCCGAGCTCCGCAGCTCTCCGAGCTCCGCAGCTTTGCTTTGCAAGATCCGAGCTCCGCAGCTCTGCTTCGCAAAAAGATCCGATCTTTGAGATGTTATCAACGTCTTTGTCAAGCGGCTATTCTGGTGTCGCCGGGATACCAAATACCAAACGGTGGACCTACTGGCGAGTGTCCGTCGTTCGGGGCAAATGGTGTGGGCTGGTAGCTGTCTTTGTTTGTCACGTAGCTCATCTCATTCCATTTCGTTGGGTGCCGAACGAATGGAGTGACCCCATCACATCCACTGGGATGGGACGAACCAAACCATGACATGGAACTTCTAAAACCATCAAAGAGCGGACGCATGTGACGTAGACGCACATGTGGGGAAACGTGGAAAAGCTTCGCATCCCATCTTCCTCAGCGGCGAACATGCCAGTCTTCAGCCAGCGCCAAAATGGCGCAAAAAAATCAGCGACCACTTGAAAGCTACAAGTTCATCCTCAAGCTCTGCTCACCCTCCGTCCTGATCGTGAGCTTCATCTCCTCTACTGGTGATCTGGGGCGAATCACATGCAAATCACGGTAACAAACTGTGTAAACTTCAGCAGAACCCAAGGGTGGCACACAGGCAAACAGTTGTAAACATTATCCACAAACTTGGGCGACATTTTTCAAGTTTCATGAGGAACTGGTCTTTTCCAGCCACAGGTGACGCATCTTAGAGTCTTAGAGATTCCACAGTGTTCAAAAAACAGACCTTGAGCCCTGTGGATATTTCATGATATTTCTGTAGCAACTGAGAATATCAACTGTGCAGCTGACCATTGCTTAGGGCACTTGAGGTCAGCCTTTTGATGACCCGCAATGACCTCGGCAGACCTGATCGGTGGATGTAGCCTGATGGGGATTCGAAGGAGGAGTGATGTCCGCTTGGGAAACAAAAGAGGGGAAGAAATGCCAGGTACCATGCATGTACCATGTATACCTTATATATATATATATTCTATCTCTCTAGGGATCCAGTACTGAACCTCAGGTGTGGTGAGGACGGAGACTTATACAGCATGGTCCGGTGCGAGGGTCCGGTCGTACCGAACCTGAGGTTCGGTACGACTGAATCCCTACAAGTAGGGTAGATATATCGGGTATATCTAATTCTGTTGTCAATCTGGGGGTATCCCGATATGAGTACTTACATGCACCCGGTCGCCTTCAAAAACCATTAGAATAGATATTAAAAGAATGACCTGGTGGTGTAGCGTAAAAATCTTTCGTAAACCAGTTCCGATCTTTGGTTTTCATGGGTATACTCATCAACGACCGCCACGCAGCACCTGGTCACTAAGTGGCCCAGTTCGAGAATTCGTGACACGCGCAGAGTGGAGGTGGCGTTGGATGTCCCAGAGCATCCAGGAATCCATGGGACGGTGACCTGCGACATACGGTCTGCGTGGTTTCATGGGTCGTATGTAAGCTTCATACGCCAGTCCCATGGATGGCTCCACACAGTCCGGTCGACCAGTTCTCCTTGAGGCTCTCCTGGTCCTGTGCGCGGCTCCTGCGTCGCCACTCCGACAGGAGCGGAGACGGGGAGCGGAGGTGGCGGCGAAGAATGTTCCATCACTGGACGCGCCGCGCACCGCGAGCGAAGAATCCTCCCAAAACGCACTTCCTTTTCGTTCCTGTCGCCCTGTCGTTCGTTCGAGCTGTCAGGGTAGCCAGGACACCCATTGATTGGATGATCCTGGTCTTTTCGGTTGGATGTGCTTCAGCACTGAAATGGCTTGGACCGTTCGTCACCCGTCCTGACCATCTCTCCCGTTTGGCCGAACCTGTCGTACCGAGGTCGAGGTCCTCTTCGGTAGGTCTGGACCCGACGATTGGTCACCCGGGCCCCCAGTCCCACCGAAACGAAATGAAGACTTAGGGCCTAGGGTTTGGAGGACTGGCTGTTGAGCCACCGTGACAAATGATGTTGGACTGTTCCCAGCTGGACCTGAAAAAGGGGTGTCTGGAGATCCAAGCAGTGGGCTGGGGCTTCCATTGGTGACCCCTTTGAAAGTGCTGGTGGCCGTTGATGCAGACGGTCAATCGAACGAAAGTGAATGTACATCCATGTACATCCTATAAGAGCAGGGAGGTACCTTACACAGATTCACTCATCGTCTGCCATAGTGCCCACCCTACATCCCGAAAACGAAAAAAAACAGACCATAACCATAACAAACCTGCTCTTGTTTATGCCAATCAGGTCAGCTTGAGGGAACTTGTTCAAGCAGGCAAAAAATACACAGAGATGGAACATGATCAACCATGATGGTTGAATCCTTCAACCAAAAGCCCAAGAATCATGGGTAGAAGTTTGAAGTTCTCCAAATCATGCCCTGAAGCTTTCAAATGGTCTGGATGTTTGTCTTTCGGTCTCGATTCCTGGCATCAAGCTTCGTCTTCTATCAACCTACCCCAACCTAGCTGCCACTGCCCAACCTCTTCAGCAGGTCAGACTGACAGTCACTCCTGAATATCTTCCTCCCACTCATCTTGGAGCTCCTCATCCTGAGGACAAGGCCAGTCTGATTTTGTTGAAGGCACACACTGCACAAGCGCCGTTCAGAACGTGTTGGGCATGCTCAAGCACGAGAAGCACAACAGCCAAGGGAAGCTTGAAGTGGAGCTAGACCGCAACACATTTCATTGAGATTCTCTAAACATCAACTTCACATCCTCTTGACTGTTTTTGCTGTAAGTCACGGCTCATCTACCCACACCACGGAGTTGGGGTGGAAAGACACACCCCTGACGATGTCAACACTTCCCTCCAAGAACCACCCTTTCAATCCATGGTGATAGTCTCTCTCTCCTGATACGCCAGTCAACCCTTTTCGAGAAAACCGCGCCTCCTCCGCAGACCTCGCGGCGGCAGGTGCTTGGGCCACATCTGCGAGCGACAGCCGCAAGCGCCTGGGTGCTTGGGGCGAGATCTCATCGAAGTCACGCAGCCGGGGCCACGGAAATGTTTTGGAAAAGACCTAGACCATCCAGACTGGAAGATATGCCACCCCAGGCACCACATCCCACAACCAGGAGACACCCCATTTTGTTTGGAACAAACATGCAAATCCCACTCGGTGTTGTGTCTGGGTAAACTGAACTTTCCACCTGAACAGGGATCTTCGTGCACTCCCCCAAAAACATGTTTTCCAGGCACTTCCATGTTCTTCGGGTCGTTCCTGCGGCAATGCCAGGTGTGGGTGGTTGCTGGTTCGCGCCACCAGTTTTGGGGTTCGAAGGGAGCCGCACTGGTCGCTCGCCGGTGCTCTTGGGGCCAACTGGTGCAACTAAAGGGCACACGGTGGTCCGGCTCTTTACAAACATGGGCCACATATCCCAGACACGACTAATGGGACTGCCATATATGCCTACATTGACCCCTCAAACCACCCCAATGTAGGCGTATATATACCCTAGCGCTCCCGGATAGTCTCTGAGAAGGTATCTCTAGCCCAGAACCTGTTTGGGAACATGTGAGCTCCAAGACCTGTCTGGGGACATGTGGGAATTTAACGCGTTTTGCGGTCACGCCATTTTCTCACTCAGACGGTGTCGGCGAACTCTTCAAGCTTGGATTTGGCTTCAAGCCTCGGATGGAGGGCTGTGATGGAGTTGAATCATCTGAGACTCATGTTTGAGCATGCAACCACACAAACACAGGCATCCAAGTAACCCCACATACCACCTCACCAGTCCAGACTCTTCAAGACCAGTTGGTTGGGTGATCGGGAGGCCATCAGTGATTCTGCCCACGAAGTCCTCCGTGTGCCACCCAGCACTGAATCTATGATTCAGCCCTTAGAATGAGTGGCACATAGTGGAACAGGCAACTACAAAGCTGCAAGGGCTCCAAGTACCTTCTAAATAGGTGTTTGGGGTGGGTTGAGAGGATCCAAGTACCTGCAATCTGGAGGTACTTGGAGCTCTAGGGTAAGGAAACAGGTTGTGCTATCATGTCAAGATACTATCGTCGAGCTGTTGTTGGCACACTTCTTGAAGTGCCTAAGATGGCATCTATGAGCTCGGAGCCCAAGGGAGATGGATCAGGAGCAGGGGCAACATGCCGACCAAGAACTTGGTGTTGCCACAAGAATTTGTTTGAAGGTTGTTGATGTCACAATAGGGGCGTACTGTTCAACTATTGGATGAATCTGATGGGTCACAAGCATATCTATCCTAAAATCAATTGAACAGCATCAATCCAGGATCCAGGGTGCCAACCCTCCACTCAACCCTCCATAAGACTAGGAGCATGAAACTTTGGCCTCGTTGGCCACCGAAGTTCTTCTCGCTCCAGGGAAGCATTGGCCAGCGCAATGTATGCTGTCATCATCCGATCCTGCAGGTTTGAATTTTGTTCTAACTGTGCCACACCAAACTAACGTTGGCGATTGGGGCTACAGGTTTTCCATCTTGTCCCACATGTCCCCAGACAGGTCTTGGAGCTCACATGTCCCCAAACAGGTTCTGGGCTAGAGATACCTTCTCAGAGACTTTCCGGGAGCACTAGTGAATTCTCAGAGACTTTCCGGGAGCACTAGGGAATTCTCAGAGACTTTCCGGGAGCACTAGGGAATTCTCAACAATCAAGACTTAAAAGAGCGCTAGCAAATAAAAGGATGGCAAGGTGCACAAAGCTTTCCCATCCGCTGTGCAACGGACTTGGTCAGGAACCGGCCGTTGAGTTCACCAATGCGATGAAAAGATGCAAGGCATGTCCTTGGTGTCTCGGTGGCACCAAGAGGCAGTAGGGGGGTGGGTTGAAGAGAAATGGAGCCTGGAGCTCAAAGAATCAGCTGTGGCTGATGATTTTCACCAACAGAATTGGCCATGCAAGAAGACCTTGCAGGGCAAGACGGCCATATTCGCGTGACAAGGCCCATCGCCCTCACGCAGACAAAGCTTTGCCCGATGAAGTGGCAAGGACCCTGATGTGGTGGCGCTCTACAGATCTGGTGCCCGCATTGACTATAAGGGCTCTTGCACAACAATGACATGGTGTCGCACTACGGATGCAAAACCAACAACATACGAGTTGGTTCGTACTGACAAAGTCAAGTCTACAGCTGCTCATGTCATCTCCTTCAGTGAGCTGGATTATTCTGAGAAGTCCTTTGTACCACTGACCGACCTGTAGGAGTCGGCGCAAGTGATGGAGATCTATGATGATCGACGAGCCCCACAAAGTCAAAAACCAGTTGGCACCGCTTTCAATGGCAATCAACAAGGTTGCGACGCGGCACCAACAACATCACCAACTTGCTACACACGCTGTCGTCCACAAGAGCGTGTGGATCAATGAGTGAAACAGTTCCTGCTGCCAAGAGTCACGCACTCCTTCATGAGTTGGATCGTGCCATCAGCTGGGAGCGCTGTTGAAAACTCTTCCAGAGCAGAAGAAAGCCATTGAATCACCACCCTGGCCTTGTGCAATCAGCTGGGAGCGCTATTGAAAACTCTTCCAGAGCAGTTGAAAAACAATTCAATCACAACCCTGACCTTGTGTAATCAGCTAGGAGCACTATTGAAAACTCTTCCAGGGCAGTTGCAAGCCATTCCATCACAACCCTGACCTTGTGCAATGAGCTGGGAACTATTGAAAAACTCTTCCGGAACAGTTGAAAGCCATTCCATCACAACCCTGACCTTGTGCCATCAGCTGGGAGCTATTGAAAAACTCTTCCAGGGCAGTTGAAAGCCATTCCATCACAACCCTGACCCTGCGCATTCAGCTGGGAACTATTGAAAAACTCTTCCAGGGCAGTTGAAAGCCATTCAATCACAACCCCTGACATCAACCCCCCAAAGATATGAAATCCATTCCAGGGCAGTTGAAAACTCTGGCCTCGACACCTCAAAGCAAATTGTTTTGCACAATATCATGCTAGTCCGATGGGAATGTCATTAAGATTCAAGACCCTTGCCACCCCAAGGATGCAACCAGGTGACATTCCAGGCCTTCGATTGAAGCTCCGGGTAGGGATGTTGTGCCGATTTCAATTTCTTGGGAGCGAAGCGCGGTACTGAATGCCTCAATCCACGCAAACCGTGTAATATATTTAGTGGGGGGTGGAGATCTTAGTAGTACATTAGTTTGGTGGCACACATCAACCCCAAAGGTTTAGTTGGCCAAAATGACACCATGACAAAATGTTCAACCATGGGGCTTCCATCCAGATTGCCGTGCCCATTCTTTGAGCTTTTGCCATGCGCACAGAAGCTTTTGCTCCTCATCCCCATCACCCCAGAACTGGTATGAGTCCGAGTCCACGATGGTCTTAAGAACATTCCCAGCCACCAGGATGTCCACCCCCAAGCACAATATGTGCATTGAGCAGAAGCGAATGCACTGCGGGACGAAATAGGGAAGCTGGAAAAGAGGACCTTAGATGAAACAATTAGCCTCTTGGGAATACCCTAGGGATATTTCAGCAAAAGACAACTATGCATTTGGTTGGACGTCTAGCAGAAACCATACGTACGCGCACTTGATTGTGAGAATGCGTGCAAGAAACATCGCTGTCCAGGTTTCACACTGACCCGGTAGAAGTCCTCCAAAGAAACCCGAGGTTTTTGCAACAGATCTGCTGGGCTGCACATGTAGCTGTCTTTATGCGCCCAGCACAAGTGGCACAGGTAGTTGCATTTGTACCACCGGGACAACTGTAGTACGTCCTGACCAATGATCAGATACAACAAACTCAACTCTGGTCTGATATCTCTGAACCCCTGGTTTCCCTGATCATTGTTGATAATTAAATTTGTGGGTCCATATTTGGGATATTTTGGGATGAAAAGGTAAACCTTCTGAAATTCTTGCATGCAGGGTTCCTTTTGGTACTTCCAGTCTCCTCGGAGTTCTGTTACGACCAGTTTCAGTTTCTTGCCTGCCCTGGAGCTCGAAGCCGGAAACTCCATCCCATCATAGAGGGTCTTGAACGATTGCACTACCTGGGCTCATGAGATCGAAGGTATCCCCGCAGGAAATCTAGATGCTGTGCACACTCATGCTCAGGTTCACAGCTTTACTTGCATGTGAACTTCATGGGCCGATTGGAGGAGAATTGCTATCCCAGGGGCTGGTTCCAGCAGTGCCCACATAGTATCAGATCCCGTGCTTAAATCCTTACAGGTCACATCACCAGTCAAACCTGAAGGGAACCGCAGCTTTGTAAGCAAGATGAATTCGAACAAACTTTAAAGCAAAATCTATTTGTTTTCAAGGAAAGGCTCTTCCTTACACAGCCAAAGGGGGAAGATATTGGATCTGTTTGCATCTAAGACGAAGCCACAGCAAAATACCATAATGCTATCCCCTTTCTCTGTGTATTGCGCCCCATCTCCCCAAAGGTACACAGGAACATGGCTTCCATCACTCATGTGGGCTAAAGGTGACCCCACATCCTTCAGATGTTTCCAGTAGCCCACAGTGTCAACCTCGTCCAAGTGTGGCAGAATCCCTGCCCGATCCATCCATGCAAAAAGTTCATCGGGACGTAGCACTGGCAAGTCCCTGCGACAAGATGGGTCAATTTAAGAAGAAATAGTTTCTTCAAAAAACATTATTTAGATCTAGAGCTGCAAGATGCTTGCATACAAGACCCTAGCCTGTTTTCAATGACCCACTCACCATTTGAAGTGAGCTCGTAAAGTGGAACAGGGACATGATGTACAGGTACCTTGACAAACGAGTGTGCATTCTGACCGGTATACCACACCGTGTTGCAACTGTCCACTCCTACCAACGTTGGGTTAACTAGCATAGTGTGCAACAATTTGGTGCTATAGGAACCTAGGTGCAGTCGGAGCCTTGGCCTTTTTGGTCAATGTTCTCAGCATGTCCCTCTTGCAATTTTGTGGGTGCTTGCCCCTGGTCCCACAAGATCGCAACAGCCCACATAGGCCAGTCATCTCGCCCAGACCCTGAAATTTCAGCTCCTGGCAGCAACACTCATTCATACGCATGTACAATCTCAATAGATCGAGGATTCACGAATCAAAATAGATTAAAAACTAAAGTACTCACGTACTGCATTGGTGCACAAACAAAAAATCCATCTCTCCTCACCAACATAGTGCAAAGTCTCTTGAGCAGCCCGGAAAGAAGATTCCTTGTTTTGAATTGCAGATTTTGAATGGGACAACCTTCGGGCCTCTCACCCCATCATGCAAGAATCTTATTCCCAAGAATGCCTAAAGTGGATCCAACACCCTAAAAACAGGGTTCCACACCATGCATGGAATGTGTTTTACTTCCAACACCTCCATTTCACCCAAGCATCCCCCAAGCCACTTTGCTTCAGGAGATAGGATGAGAGTGGCGACACAGCTGCCGCACCTGCGGGGATCTCGAGCTGGGCACAGTGAGCAGGAATCAACACTCGACGCGAATCGATATATCGATATCGAATTCGAATTAAGACAGATTAAATCAGCAGATCAATATCCAATATTGTAGATGTTCGATGACGTCACTGGCGGCGATTGACACTCCAAACCCAGCTGAGCCCCCAAAAAGCACCATTCCCCAAACCCTGACCCTGCAAGTTCGTCACGCCATTTCTTTCCCCATGTCACCTTGGGTCCAGGATGTTCACACGATTGCAGGGCAATACTCACCCCAGCTAACGCCAAGAAGACAACCTATCAGCCAAACATCACTGAGATGTGATGGGGCTGTTGTAACCCTGACTCGAGTCCAGTCCTAGAGCTTTGCAAGAAAGGGTTACTGTAATTGAGAATCAATAGCAAACTGAACACTTCCTGATCAAAAGTACACATCACATATGATAGGTATCTTTAAACATGGTTGTCAAGGACAAACACAGATCAATGATTTGTTTGCTAGCTCTCTACGGACTGAGCACTCAAACTGATGAGATATCATCTATCAGCTTTCCGGTTGCACTGGTTGGGCTTTTCCCTTTGCTTTCACTTTCGGGGCTGGCGGATCCTTGGAGCAACATAGGCGGAGACGTGTACACATCCCCACTAAGCACTGCTTTGGTGATGCTAGTTTGGCATACATGCTGATTAAGATTCAACAGCTTGCTTGATAGATTTCATGGTCCCAGCAAAGCTTGTGAGGGCTGCATCACATTTTCGCAAAGTCAAATCCACCTTCGTGGTAAGGTCAGGCCTTTTCTTGAGGTCATCTGGGCCCAATTTCTCAGCATAGAGCAGTTCCAGTTCCCTTTTGCACTCAGAAAGGTCACTAGATCTTGCGGACAGTTCCTGAGAAAAGCCCTGCTGCAAAGTTGCAGACCTAAGTGAGCGAGTCCACAAATTTCCAGTCCCCTGACACAATACAGGTGGAAATTGCATTCTTACATGTGAAACCATATTATATTGGACACTTGTTGGGAAGTCAAGTCACAGATCCTTGGAGTCCTTCACTTTGGCGTCCAACGACATAATTTCCGTATGCTTGCTGCTCAGCAAGGTAATCTTTGAAGCAACAACCGCTCTCACCTCCTTAGCTTTCTTTTCCTTTCTCTCAGGAATGACACGTTCCTCAGAGCCCGGAGGCACAACACCACCCGAGCCGAGGGATTGCAAGGTCTGGAAGGTAGGGGCAGGAGCTTGTAGAGCAGTCTTGTCACCAGCCGTCACATTTTGCCTTAAAAATAGCTGTTGAGGAGATCATACATGCAACATGTACATGTTTTCTGAAATTAGGAGTCTCTTCCCTTAAGCGCATAACAGGGCACAAGAGTTTCCTTGTTTGGGTTTCATCCAATGCTCCACTGGCTTCCAACGAGATGGTTAGGTCATCTGCAACCTCATCTTCGAAGGTCAAGGAATCCCAGATTCGTAAGAGTTCATACTCCTTTCGCAAGAGGTGCACTTCGCATATATAATTGCAATAGTGCGTACATGTACAATATGATTGAGATCTTCAACCCCAACTAGAATCACAAATTCATCCGGGTCCTCTTTGTTCTGCCCCCTGAAGTCAGGATGCTCGGACCAGTAGATGGTGGGATCATTGGGATCTTTCTTCTGTTCCTGCTCCCTCTTCGAGTCACGAAGTTGCTTCGCGATCCCTGGGCCGAACTGAACCTTGACATCCTTGTACATGCACATCTTGTATTTACCACGTCGTTTCGTGGAGAGCTTTCGGTTGGCGTTTATCACCAGTGAACTGTTCATCCAGTTCTCTCCGGAGCTAAGGTAGTCCTCATAGAGCTGTGACATGACCAATCTGTCTTAGTCAGCCAGCATGATGGAAGAGGTCGAATGAGGTCGAAACAGTCCAACACAAACCAACAAAAAGCTACAAGACATTTGCCTCATGAATAACACGTGTCAAGGCACTGTGTTTTTTTCCAAGGGCTGCCTCCAGAACTGGCTTGGGACAGTCTGCACCTCACCCACCAACTGGCAACTATGATGACACATATAGTTGGACCACAGTAGCAGTATGGCGTTCAGGACTCAGCTAACAATCAAATGCATCCAAAAAACGTTTCATAGACCTGTAGAACCTCATATAGGAATTATGTGCCATCCTACTCTGGTACTCCTCCTCGGACTCTACCCGTCCATTTGGCCCAATGCGGATCGGTGGTGTGTCAGCAGGCTTTTGCTGAGCCTTAGATCTAGATAGAGACTAGAATGTTCTTAAGACATCGATTCTAGATCTCTAACAAACTCACAACCCAAAGCACCACACCCCGGGTTGAATGGTTTAAGACAAGTGGCTTCCAGCTGGGTTGTGTCCAACCTGTTCATCATATCAACTTGCGATCGAAGGTGTGGAGTTGGTGGATCTGCTCCTGGTTTAGCCTCCTGACAGGACGGAAGGGGTGGCAGATGGGAGGATGATGACAAGCTGTCCAGGTTAAATTCGATATGCATGGAGGACCCCTGGTATGTTGAATCTGGGGAGTTGTGCTGAAGCAGAACAAGACCACAAATGTTAACCACCAGCACACCTCCAATCCCTGATAAGAGTGGACTTCTTGATGTTCCTGGAGCAAAAGGCCATCAGCTGCTGACGGGGCCTGTGCCAGTTGACAATTACACTACTGGTAAAAAGGGGTGAACAAGCTGGAAAGTCCTTTATGTTTCATACAGCCAGTGGATAGCTAGGGACGTCATGATCAGCAGAGATGGCAAGTTTGTTTGATGCGCATACTGTTAGCAAAGATGAAGTGCCTCAGGCGCATCACCAAGCAGAGTTCCAAGCTCGTTCATCAACTCAGGGTCAAGCTCTGGCTCCTCCTCGATAGTCGGAGGACAGGTAGCCTCCACCGTCGCATGATCAATCAAGCTTTTGGCCAGTTGCACCAACCTCGAACTCATTTGGTCTGTTTCCTTCTCAAAGGATTGTTGAGCTGCAAGACTAGGCTCAAGCTTTGACACCTTCCATTGGTCAATGCTGGCCACATGCACCTTGTAGAAGTCAATCTCATCCGGATTCTTGTCCGGAAACTGTTCAACAGCACGCTTGCGCTGCCTTGCAAGCATGGCCCGGGCTGCCATCTCCAATTTCTTCGTGAGGACGTCAAGATCCTCTTGCATCGTTTTTGATGTTTGTTCCCGGTCACTCAGCTCCGATTGCAGCTTGACAATCTCATCGAAGATGGTTGCAAGGCATTGGTCCATACACATGATGTCATTCAGGGCCTTGCGCCGGTTAATCCACATCTCAACATCAGCCATCATGTCACCCTCAGACACATCTGAGTGCATAGACTTCAGCAGTGCTCTCAAGGGTACATCCAACTGAGACTCTTCAAAGTTTGACAAATCTTCCACACTGGCACCAAAGGGCAGTGTGGTCATCGATGCAATGTCACGCGAAAGAGGTTTGCCACAAGGACTTGTAGCACGAGGTTTTCCTTGCGTGTGCTCAGGATCAACCAGCTGTTCACATTGCTCCTCCTCCGCAATCAACTCAGCATCAGTGGGCTTCCTTTTCCAAACCTGGGGGGTACTTTACAATCACTAGCAAAAATGCCCAACTCCAGCTGCTGAGTTGATTAATAGTTGATATGCATGAACACGAACTGGCATTCAACAGGACCAACCCACAGCCGCCAAGGGACTGTGTCAGGAGGCACTGGGACCCGCACATCAGCTGGCACCGTGGCCGGAACGTCGGCCGGCACAGTGACCCCACCCCCAGCGGGAACATCCGCCGGCAAAGGCGCAACAGCTGGCGTGTCCGCCACACTTGAAAAGGCACCAGCCAAGTTTTTGGGCGGCATTTCATCACCACCATTCTTGGACCGTTTCAACACTGGACTTCTGATGGGGGTAGATTTGGGGGTCACCAAACCAAGGCTCGGGGACTTTGAGGCGACCACACGAGGTGGCTCATGTACGATCTCACTCTTGGCCTTCGGGGCTGGAGTGGTTTCACCAACAACGATCTTCTTCTTTGGTGAAGCCTTTGCAGTAGGGATAGGCACTGTTGATCTCACTGGAGTAGCAATAGGCTTTGGGACCACTGCACCTTAAAACGACAAATATGGTACATAGGCCATAGATGTTGAATTCTGTTCTTACATGTTTTTTCAATACGTTTTGCATGGAATTGCATTCAAAGCCACCCAGTTTGATCCCCAAGCGATCTTCTATCTTGCGCAACTCGTCATTGGCGTTGAAGGAGTCCAAAGACGATGCAGACGCCCCATCCACTGGCGCCTTGGCTTCTCCATTGGGAACCAGGTTGGGTGCAAGTGCGACCAATCACCTGCATGCATGTACATGCATGTACTAATCCCGGTGATTTGAATCGAGCTATGTGAACAAGAAGTGCACAGTGACTTGACTGGCACGGCACAATGATGGGACTATTCCTCTTGCTGGACCATCATTTCGATTGCAGAACCCGGATGCCATGAAAGCAAGCTCAGTTGCTTCCTTGGAGACTTTTGTGCCCAAATATTGGGTCAATGGTATCCAAATATGAAAAACACTGCTGCTTATGCATTGTGGATCTTGATGAAGACATATGAAGACCACAAGAACTACAGCTTGTGAGCATGGCTGCACATCTTACTGTTCCATGAGAGCAGGATATGGTTCACGAACCCTGCAACAGACGTGCCACCGCACAACAAGGATGCCTTCCATCCGGAAATACATCTATGGTCGACCCATGCCTTGTATTTGGTGGGCAAGCAAGACCAGGAGCACTATAGTTGGCATTGTTCATCCCAAGTCTGGCACCGTTTGATCGGCTGTGATCCTATAGCTATACATGATGGACATGAGGAGGATTGAGAAGGCAGGATCGAGGAGAGCTACTACTGTTCAGATAGGGTACATAGGGCGCCGCGCGCGTTTTGGTTGCTGTTGGATTAGTCACCACCATCACCTGCCAGGGTTTGAAAGGCACAGCTACAGTTCCAGGTGCACAAAACTGCTTCAAAAAATTTAACGCAATTTAACGCTCAGTTTTGTCTCAGCACGCACTTCAACGCAATTTAACGCGATTTTAACGCGTTTTTTTGGGCCCAAAAATTGCAAAAAAAACCAAAAAAAAACAAAAAAATATAAAAAACTACACAAAAAGCCCAACATCTCTAGAACAGGTCACAAATTGCCACCCTCCTAGCTAGAAAAGTAAAAAAATACACAAATCTCCTAGAAAAGCTCGAACTTGCAAACCTCCTGGCTAGAAAACAGTAGACACGTTCACAATTGTAAACCTCTTGGCTAGAAAAGTCAAAAAAAAACAAATCTAGAACAGTTCAAACTTGCCAACCTCCTAGCTAGAAGAGTAAAATAAACAAATCTACTAGAAAAGATCGAACTTGCAAACCTCCTGGCTAGAAACATTAACTTAAACCTCTTGGCTAGAAAAGTCAAAACAAACCTAGAAAAGTTCAAGCTTGCCAACCGCCTAGCCACAAATTCCAACATTTGATATCTCACATCCTGTATGCCAACTTCGGGCAATCTTTGACAGTGGCCATAAGCATCCTTATGGCCACCATGGTAAAACATATTAGTCAATCAAATCAAACATCCTAGAAAGGTTCACATTTGCCCAGCTCATAGCTAGAAAAGTTAAAAGCAAATCTAGAAACATTATTGTTGACCCCCTAACTAGAAACGCCAAAAAAGCATATATACAAATTTGAAGAAAAACTCTTGACAACCATAGAAACAATGAAAAAATGATCGCCTCCTAACGAGAAAAGTAAAACCTATGAAAAGTCGCTAACATCGGTTTCACAAACCCCAACCTGATTCCCAGGCCCACCAAGGTCCAACTCTAAGTGCAAACTGCTGAACACTTTGCCAAATGGCTGCAACCTGTGTGGCTGTACACTGCAACAAGTATCACACAACCTTGCACATCAAACCAGACTCAGACGGGGCTGCACATGTCAACGCAAGTGCAGTAGTTGTTGCGTGACACACAGCGCAATGGACACCTAGCTTTTTGAAAAGCCAAAGGCTTGTGATCGAATTGTTTGCTAAGCTCTTGCATAGCAACCACCAATATGTGGGAGCCAAACTAGAAAGGCACAACTGCACAGCGGATGCACACACGGCTGGCACCAAAGATTAATTGTACTAGATGTTTCAGTTTGAGACACACCAATTAGGCTCTACACAGTTCCAAACATGTTGGGTGGTGGACACTTGCATCATGCACCCAGCCATGTGAACAAGCATCCAAGCCTGAGCCCAATTTACGCAATAGGTCACCCAATTAGATTAGAGCTAGACAGACAGTCCAGACCACTTGCAGGAAATCAGTGAGCTACATCAGAATAGTTCTAGAGCTGTGCAAGTATTTATACTAAGGGACTTAGTTATCAGTGCATGAACATAATAATTAGTTCACTCCTTCCCACCGGGCGCGGACCCTCTCAAAAATAGCCTTGCATGGTTCCACCTGAACCGGCACCAGTGGATCCGGCCGGAACTGTCCTTGTTCAATAGCCTTCTGGATGAAGACCACGACCGGCTCCAAACCTGCATGCTTCCACATGTCAGCAGGAGGTTCCTGGGCAGTGCCACGGCGTGGGGGTGGTATGGCACAAGTTCAGATTCTATAGGGCAAGATGTATGACATAAGGTTGTGTTGTGTATTTCCCACCGCCAAGAGTCCCTGAATCCACCTTTGACCAGCTTGCAGAGATCAGGGAGAACTGGTCCGGAATCCTGAAAACCCCAAAGCTACAGTTGCAACATACAAAACACGTAACATGCATATTACACCAAGCACT